TTTTTATTCCTTGTTTCTCGAGTTTTTATAAGGCAATTGTTTTTTTGAGGAGGGCAGAAAAAAAAAATTAACTCTTTTTTTTCTATTAGATTTGTGTGATTCTCAAAGAATTGTACGTGAGATAATTGATCGGAGAGAAGAAATGAAATGAAATGTTATTTCATGTATAACCTTGTTTTTCATCTGCGCGAGACTTCGGTTCTTTAATCATGATACTCCCACGAAAATGCAACTTGGATTTGTTATGCGGCGGGCGGAAAAAAAAATAAAGATAAAAATAATTTTTTTCAGCAATTTTTTGCACCTTAAGTCGGCGGGCGTGAGAAATCATGCTAATTTTATTTCATTTTCGGCTTCTGTTCATTCGGCGGATTCGCAAAACAAAGGATAACAAAAGTCTGGCCTAAATAGTGTTACTCGAGAAAGCCCCCCCCCGAAATGTTTAGGTTTCTAGGTTTATCCCTTTGTACCGTGTAAGGGAAACCCGTCCAGTCGAGCAAGTCACGTGACATCAGCCTTTTTAGCTGTACTGATAAGCACAGCCGTCATGCCTGTAAGTATTAGGCTGAAACTTTGTGATTTATCACAGTTTTTGTTCATCTACATTTAATTTCTTCACAATTTTGAGGATGATGAATGCTTAGAGAGTCCATCCCCGTCGCATATTGCAAAATTCGACCCCTGTAAACGTGAATCCAGATCAAAAACGGTTGTATGTGAATGAATCGTTTAAAGTTGTGTGTCGTCCGCCATTTTGTGTGCGGCATGGGAATTGCGTTCCAATGTTTACATCTGATTTTCCGCATTTTGTACGGCTCTCTGCGTCCTAAATAAAAAAAAATACTTATCCTTAGATTGTGAAATATGTACGTGCCTGTCAATTGTTTTTTTATTGCGAAACAACGTCCGAATACTGTCAAAATTCAATGTTCGTCTGGTTTCGTTGGAGTTTGTTCTGGGCATGCGTGAGACTTGCCATTCGTTGTGCAATCATCTTGTTTTGGTTTCGACATCGTCACTAGTTCGCTGAAACTCTGCGAATTTGAAAACACAATAATTCTGTCCGTACAACATGCCTGTAAGTACCCGTTTTTGCTCCAATTTTTCCACCAGTAACTATTACCAACTTCTCATAATTATAATTTACATAATTTAGACTGTCCCCTGGAGTGCGTAGTCAAACCAAATTTTGTTCTTTCCCTCAGGAATCATTTTTAACAAGTCCAATAGTATGGCGTAATCATATTACCTGACCAGTGACCACATTCTGAAAAACTTGATGCATTAAGCTAATTATGAAGTTTCCAAAAAATGCAGTTATCAGTAACTGTCTAATTTTGATAATAAAATGTAGGTGTAAAAGTAATTATGTGGCTCAGCATGAACCTGAACAAAATGAAAACATTTTGGATGAATAAAAAATTTCAGGGCTCAAAATTTAAGGCGACAATTGCCTTAGAGACTCACCAAAAATAGTTGAATATTTCCATCACAATATCAATCAATACAGGGATTAACCTTCACAGAAGCATCATCTTGATGCCTCATGTTTTCATAGGTACCCTTTGATATTCCAAATGTTGTGTTTATAATTTCTTGCCTTGTAAACCTGTGCTCTCCAGATTGCCTTCTAACAGGATTTATTTTGTAGGGAGTCTGAGTCAAAATGGAAATCTCCAAAGTCAAGTTGCATCAGTTTGTTGGTTGGTCTTCAAACAATAAAATTGTATGTTTGTGTAGGCAACTTGAGGCACAAACAAAAATTCTATGCCTCCGATTTTACTTAGTTTTTACACTTATTTTATTTCATTTTACCAAATTTAAAATTCGATAACTAGAGAGATATTTTGATTAAACATCACACTTATACGCTTTTATTTCAAGTCTGGTTAGTGTGTGGCATTCTTTAGAAGTTTTGGCTTCAAATTTTCCTCATAGTAACATTTTGTTATTAGTAGCGCATATGCTTAATTAAATTAGAGATTTATGTCTATCGTGAAAATAAATGTACAATAAATCAGTATTCAAAATTTCTCAGAATTGTGTACCAGACAATTTGTCTCAGTAAAACAGTTGTTTGTAAACATGTTCAGCAATGACGCGTTGTTTTCACATGGAGTTGCTTTGGAATTAAAAAAAAAATACTGTTCTGATTGCCATGAAAACAATTAATAAAGTAAAAAAATATGTGAAAAAGAAAACTGTATTCAATTACAAACTCTCAGTAAACTAACCTGGCAGCCAAGTTTGATGTTTTTTTTACCACTTTCCCAATTCAGTATACTGTTTCCTCGTAAATGAGGTACGCCATGCTGTTTCTAGATGAAAATCAAGCAAACATTGTAAATACGGCTAGAATTTTAATTTTTGTTTAAGTTTACAAGGAATCTGCTAATACATTTTTTAGCTCCGCTGTCGACTTTGTCGAGCGGAGCTAATCATATGAGTGATTGTCCGTCTCCATCGTCGTCGTCCGTGTCAATGTTTTACTTTTTCGACTTCTTCTTGAAAACTACAAGCCTAAATGCTTTGATACTTGGTATATATGTACCTTGGGTAGACCTCTCTCAGATTTGTTTATTTCGTGATGATATCTTCAATTCTCTAATTTTGGTGAATATTTTTGTCATTTTTGGTAAAAAGTGATATTTTTGACTTCTTGTTAAAAACCGCAAGTCCGATTGCTTTGATATTACATATATAGGTACTACATGTGAACCTCTCTCAGATATGTTCGTTTTGTGATGATATCTTCAATTCTCTAATTAATTTATTTTGGTGAATATTTTTGTAATTTTTGGTAAAATGTGATATTTTCGACTTCTTGTTAAAAACTGTAAGTCCGATTGCTTTGATACTATTCATATTGTTCATTTTCTAATGATGTCTTCACTTCTTTAATTGAAATGTGCATTGCTAACAGCGGAGCTATCTCAGCCGATAGGCTGCTTGTTTGAAAATGGGAGTCTTTGCAGTTAGTGTGTCTGTCTGTATGTGTGTGTGTCCGACTGTTCCACTGCTATCTCAAGAACCATACATCGGTTTTTGATGAAACTTGGTGCATAGATGCTCTGGGCCAATGCGCAGATTTGATTAGGTTTTGGTAAAAATCTGTGCAATTTGCATAATTAGCTATTTTTAGTGGTTCCATGACTGTTCCACTGATATCTAAACAACCACTCATTGGATTTTGATGAAACTTGGTACATAGATGCTCTGAACTAATGCTAGGTTTTGATTAGTTTTTGGTAATAATCCGTGGATACTAATTACCTAATTTGCATAATGATTAGTCAATTTTCGTTTTTTTCACTGATATCTCAAGTACTAATCATCACATTTCAATGAAACTTGGTACATAGATGTCATATGACACTGCACAGACCTGATAGTTTTTATGGTAATATCAGTACATATAATTACCTAATTTGCATAATTAATTAATTTTCAGCTTTTGATATAAGTAGTGAGCATTACATTTCAATGAAACTTGGTACTTACATACTCAAGGACTATGCAGAGATTGTTTGGATAAATATTTGTGTATATTAATCACCTAATTTGCATAATTAGTTAATTTTCAGCTTTCCACGGGTATCTCAAGTACTAATCATCGCATTTCAATGAAATTGGTACATAGATCTTAGGACTATGCAGAGACCTGATTAGTTTCAGGGTAAATAATTGTGCATATTAATTACCTAATTTGCATAATTAATTTTCAGCTTTTCTACTGATATCTAAAGTACTAATCATCACATTTCAATGAATCTAGAATTATGCAGAGACCCAATTAGTTTTTGGTAAATATTTGTGCATATTAATCACCTAATTTGCATAATTAACCAATTTACAACTTTCACACTGCTAACTCGGGTACTAATCATCACATATCAATGAATGTTTATACATGGATGCTGTAGGACAATAGACAGACCTGGATAATTGTGGGTTAAAATCTGTACATATTAATTACCCAATTTGCATAATTAACCAATTTTAAGCTTTCACACTGATATCTAAAGTACTAATTTCCATTTTAATGAAACTTAGTACAAAGATGCTCTAGGACAATGTACAAACCTAATTAGTTTGGGGTCAAACTCTGTTCATATTATTTCCCTAATTAGCATAATAATTCATAATTTTTTGGTTCTAATCACATTTCAATTAAACTTGGTACATAGAGTTTTTGTTACATTGCGCAGACCTCATTAGTTTTACAATCAAATCTGTTCATGTTAATTTTCTGATTTGCATAATTAGTTTTCAGCTAAGTAATTTCAAATTATATTTAATGTGTCTCCAATACTCTCAGCACATGGGAGTTCTTTCTAAGCTTTCTTTGATTATGAATTGCATTATGTGTTAAGATGCAGACACAAGTTCGTGGGCACTTGAAGCCTTAAAATTATGTTTGTGCTTTTATTATATTGAGTCATTCTTCACTTAATGTATTTGAAATAATATTTGTCCAGAATGTTATCCGATGGTACTGTTGCAAAATAAACACATTAAATTTAGTCAAAATCAAATAGGTTTGTCTTTGAAAAAAATTAAACAGAAAGCTAATTTTAAATTTGGTCTCTAAACAACGGTGAATCTGCAAAAATATCACTGGCACATGAGGCAGATCTTTTTGTCTAGGTTTCTCCCACATTATGCCTAAAAGATGGACACTATAGGCAAAGTTGTCTTGTATGTCACTAACTTGCTTGACTGTACTAAGGTTATTTTCAAATGGCTGTTATCTTCATTTTGGTTCTTTGTTTTTAATTCAATATGTCATTGAGTTTTAGACTATTTAATTGTAAATTCTTGTTAAAACATTACTTATTTTGGCTAAAAATTCACATCTGTATTCTTGAATACAATGAATGTCAATGACTTTGAAAAACACAAATTTGACTAATTTTTAATAGTCATCAGGAAAGGTTTTAAAATTATGCTTAAATTAAAATACCAGGATCCAGAAAATAATTAATCTTAATCTAGATGCATTAATAACCATGATGCAAATATATTTCTTAATTTACAGGAGGAAAGGAGAGGAATGTTACCAAAGTATCAACGTCTCAAACCTGGTGTGACACGTGTTGCCCCGACAACCATTTCTAGCAGTGCCATAATTTCAAGGCCACCGGCATTGGCAGGTAATATGATGGCACAACAAATGAGACAACATATGCCGCCACAAGGTAAGATAACCTGTAATAACAACATTAGGCTGCATTCAAAGATAAGTTAATTATTATCTTCACTTCTGGTACAATTTTGCCCATGCTGTGAACCACTATTTTTTAGAAGGAAGTCGTGACTTTTTGTATCAGTAGCAGTGATTGAAGGTATCCAGTCACAATCGCAAAATGTAATCCCTACCCATGCAGTTCCAGAAAATACAATGTTAAAGAAAAGTTGCATTTTTGAAGTAATTGAGGACAACATAAAGTACCCCATCATTAACAATATCCAATTGTTTCAGCTAATGTCACCAGGCTACAATTTGAGATATGGCATGAAAATATTCATAAAATGGCTGCCATTAACTAGAATGCTACCATTTTCTCGAAATTAAGGGTGGTGACCCTCAACTTTTTTATTGAAAAGTTAATGAATTCTGGGTATTCTCATTTATGAGAAGGCTTCTAATTTAAACTGCTTATCGATATTTCTAGAATTAGTGTTCTGATTGTGACTCAATATGATATTGACATTGGACTGATATCCATAAATAAAAACTGATGTAAAGTTTTCATTCGCAGGTACTCAACAACCAGGAATGGGCATGCCCATGGGCCAAGGTACGTCTTACATTAATTGCTCTTCATAATTTTTTAAGAAAATACAACTCGATCATAATGAGAAACATCTTCTTCCCAATACAGTTCAGAAACAGCTATGTTTAGAAGAAACTGCTATTTTTAGGACAGCTCTATCTAACACTAGATTGAAAGTATTTGTTACCATCAGTCATAATTTGTAATTTTTGAAACACACAATGAGTCTTTGCAGTTAGTGCGTCTGTATGTCTGTTCCGCCAATCCTCATATTTTATTGAAACTTGGTACATAGATGCTCTGGGATAATTCTCACACCTAATTAGTTTTTGGTTGAAATTTGTGCATATTAATTACTTTATTTGCATATTAAATAACTAATTTTCAAGCATTTTTACTTGTTTCTCGTGTACAATTGAGCAGATACATAGATGCTCTGGGATAATGCTCAGAGCTGACTAGTTTTTGGTTGAAATCTGTGCATATTAATTATCTAATTTGCATATTAATCAATCGATGTTGAGCATTTTCACTTGTTTCTCATGTACTATCAAACAGATTTTAATGAAACTTGTACATAGATGCTCTCGGACAATACTCTGACCTGATTAGCTTTTGGTTGAAATTCTGTACATATCAATTACCTAATTTGCATATTAATTACCCAAACTTAATTTAAGCATTTTAACTTGTTTGCTGCATAGATGCTCTGGGGTAATGCGTAGTACTGATTAGTTTTGATTGAAATCCTGTACATATTAATTAGGCAATTTTAAGCATTTTTACTTTAAATTGTTAAACAGATTTCAATAAAACTTGATACATGTACATGTAAATGCTTAAGGATAAGCCATATACGTGTTCAAATTTTGGTTTTATATTTGGTGGTTATGTGTATGATCCCATTTTTATAATGCATTTGCTACTGTAGACGTATTAATTATTCAGAGATTGAATTGAAAATTGCTAAATTAAATCAATGTGTACTTGTATAAATTACATTAGAACATTTTTCCAAAAAATATGATTTTTAAACTAGTTTTAAAAATTAAATGCCTATTAAAATAAATGCTTTTATTGTAATATTACAGTAATTTTTTCGCTGTGAATTTCATACATTATTAGGTACCGGTGTTTTGTTCACTCTTGCAGGTAAATGTTATCTGACTGTCTGTCATTTCTTTTCAGGTGCCCCCCAACAAAGGATGCAAAGACCACCTTTTCCAGGACCGCCTCCTTTTCAGGGTGGTCAGGGTCCGCCTCCAATGAGGCCACCAATGATGCAGTCTGGAGGAGTACGTTACTAGGACACCAACTCGGATGTAACAGGTGGATCGTTTATCTGGAATTTCTAATGTAATTAATTTTTATGTCTTGAGAGTGGAAGTGTCAATTTTATTGTGATTTTACCTGTTCAGGTGCCTAAGTAAAATATGGACTTTTAGATATGAACATGCGACGGTGAGAATTTTTCCATATTAATAATCAGACCATTTACAATGATTATCGTAATTGTAGATCTTATTTTCAGTTAGAGAAAAACAAAATGAAAGATTGCTACTCCAGGTAAACAGGCAAGTTTTATTTTTTTAATGTGACTATGATACAGCTCTCCTCAGACTCTTCTGTGTTCAACAGTCAGCAATGGGAAGATTTTCATTACTGAATTTTCTTCAGAGCACTGCCAAGGTAAATCATTGCAATATAATAATGATTTTGATTGCGAACTGGTGCACCATATTAACAAATGGTGTGCAGTGTGTTTGGTAACACGTATTGTTGAACTTTAAATAAGATTGAAATTAATTGCATCTTGTTTTACCCCTATACTCGGTGTACGATTCCTGCACGTATCAGGTGAGGAAGAATCAATTTTGAAATCAACCTAAGAGTTGGTTTGCAGCTGATAACTGATCATTCTCCAGAGTGGACTCAAATTGGTTGGACGTAGGAAAAAAATGTGACTTTTTTTCATATATATATATATATATACTTTTGTTAATAATTCAACAGGGTTCTTTTTACTTTTAGAAAACTCAACAAATCAAAATATCAGTTTGACAAAATTCTTTGCTCTCTGGCAAACAATGTCCATTAATGTAAGCGATAGCCCATTGTGTATAGTAGAAATTAATTTCCTTTGTATGTTCAAGAACCCCTGCATTTTTTAAAAATATTTTTCTCGATATAGCGAATGTAAGTTAAACTGACGAAAATATCATGTTTAGTAAGTATCTTCAGCAGAGTTGTAATAAGGACCATATGTTCATGATTTAGGTACGTTATATTGTAATTGTGTTGCAGTTCAAGTCAATCCGTCACTCCCACCTCGTAGTTCAGTGAACGTTGCACTTCTATCTGTTAAAGAGCACATTTCATGTTCAAAGATAATCTGCCGTGCAGTTTTTAAATTCATATTTTGCGACCAGACTCTAATTGCTTGCATGTGAAAAACATTGATACTAAGAAAGGAAATTGGTGGACCTATTCAGATGGACAACTAAGTGTTCTCAACTTTATTGTATGTATTTTATGAATTATGAAATTTCCCAGCAGAAATGAGGTACTTTTTTGTTTGTTTTAATTGAACTGTTACTGTAAATTATGAAGCAAAACATCACAGTTGTACCAGAGAGCCTGAAGGTCAGTATTAGTAGTGGAAAGAGCCGGTTTTCACAGCTGTCATGTGCTGTTGGACTTACTGGATGTCCCCAACATTTTGTTTGGTGAAAGATTGGCTCACACCTGCTGCAACGTGTTTAAATCAGCATAAATTTTTCCCCACATTTTGAGCCCTATTCTGCATAAACATGTGTTGATTAGGCACGATTGCAGCTTGTGTACTGGTGACTTGTGAAAAAACAAATTCAGAATGAGATTAATATATATTACAAGAATGTACATTGTGGTGACATGCAGTAAAAAATCTTGGCAGAGTACATTCGAAATGCTCTGGTAAAACACGTCGTAAATGACACTATTGTATCGTACAATGTGCATCTTTTCTACCAGGTGTTGAAGTTATTCATATACTGTATTCGCTTTATTTAGTAGCACTTGTGCTTACGTAAATGACAAGTTGTCTATGATCAAAATAAAGACAAATGGGGTATGATTAGTCTGAAGTATAACATCACTACTGACGTGAAATGTTTATTTCATGTCACCACAATGAATATTAGAGTTCTATATCAATAATTATCAATTCCCAAGTTTCTTTTTGTATCTCCAGCTATTGTTAATTTTTCAGTGTTTGTTCATCTTTACTGTGACAGTTAAGGCAAGTGTGAAATAAAGTTACATTCTTCACAAATCAATATCTGCTTTCACAGCATTATTTCATGCTGTTGGGCCCAGCAAGGGTCCCCAACTGCTCGCATGGGAGAAGTTGGTGAAGCCTGCTAACACAATTTCGAAGCAGCATAAATGACAGTGCAAACATCCCTGTCAAATTGAATGTTCTATGACTTGTATGTTTTCTTGTGATGGTGTAATACCATCATTCCTAATGTAAAACCCCCATCTTACTAAGGTTGCCATAAAGAACCATCTTGTATTAATGCAATGTGGCCAGCTAAGCATCAAAGTTGTGTTCAATGTAGTGCGGTTCAGTAAGCATATATTGGCTTGTAGTGATACAAATGGGGAAAAATGCTAAAATAAATACTGAGTACTGAACAAGTATAATTAATTTGATTTGTTTTCCAGCCATTCAATTTGATCCAAAACGCATTGTCACAAGTATGATTTCAGTTTTCGGAAACAAAGTTGAAAGTACTAGAATGTTGGTACTAGAATGTTAGTTTACTGACTATCGTGTAACTTTTATTTTCTATTCAAAACATTGTGGCAACCAACACCTGTGACATGATGCAGCGAATTGAAGACAAATCGTCATTGACATATTGTTGCACAGTGGCCATAGTCTTGCTTACCTCTGCTGTTCTTGCACCACACACGCAATAAGTCACTGTTCAGATAGATATCTGTCATGTCAATATTCTTTTTGATTGCCTAAATTATTTTATAAAAAAATGGCTCTAAGCATTTGATTCTTTTTAGTGGCGACTCAATAACTAAAAATTTAGCAATATAGAAGGCGTCACAGTCTGTGGAGACAATGACTTAGTTGCAATGTTATGGTAACATTTTTTCAAACACTCTATACCAAAACAGCAATGTAGCTGGCATTGCAATATTGCTAGACAGTTCTTTATAGCAGCCACAGTAATTCCCATTGCATTGCCATGTAGTAGATTCAAATTCATGTGAAAAATTTGCCTCTAGACACAAAACAATTCCTGGTCTTGCTACACCATTATCTGCAGTCTGTCACATACAGGACTGTAAAAAATTCACCGTCCAAAATGTTAGTCATTGCTTAGCTGTCCAACAACAATATTTATGATCTTTTCGTTAATGTGTTAAAATAACTAAGAAATTTTCATTGAGGCATATTATTATTGCATTATTAAAATAACTGTTCATGAGAAATTTTTGCATCTACAAAAATTAATTCAATTTTTTAGAATGACAATTCTTTCCCTACTTTGGTACAAAATTAAAAAAAAATATTGAAATAATGCATAAAAAGTGCAAAATGTGATGCACCAACATTTTCCCATGGAATATTGTAGCTTTAAATAAGTGAAATCCACTTAGGTTCAGCTATGTTGTCTTTTCCCAGGTTTCTGAAGAGTTTGTATAAATCAAGTGCCAAGTTCTTCGAATTGAGGTAGGGTGTAGCCCTTGCTACTCCTGTAGTATTTAATGTCTGTCTTGATTCTGTTAAAAAATAGTCTATCAAATTGGAAATAAATTTCAATTATGCATTATTAATCAAACAATAAATCCCATGAGAAATGAAATTTTGATCTTTGTGAAATTAGTGGTATCAGTGTCACTAAAATTTGCCTCCAAAATTCTGCTGTAACTAAAAAGATGTTTCTATAATTTTCATGTTCAACCAAATTTACACCATTTTATAATTGCTTATCAGAACTGAAAGAAATTGTATTTCTTTTTTGTATTGTATGCAGAACACCTACTTCTGATTATTGTGATCCATGTAAAAAGCAAAATATTGCAACACTGAAGCAACCCCTGCACTTGATAGTTCTTGATGTCTAATAACCAAATCAATCATTAATTTGTTGTAATTATTGTAGACCATTAGCATGTACCCATAATACAGAAGGTTCTTCTAATTAAGTTTAATATTTTGTTGGATAAGAGCCAGTCAAAATGTTTCCAGGGGTTGATAAGGTTTTCTGCAGATCATACAAAGTGGGAATGCATCTTAAAACAAAAATGTCTGGGTGAATACTGAAATGCACATTTGAAAGTGTCAAGGTCAAACCAAAAGAACAATGTGATTCTGAAAATCCAACTCAAGAAGTTTAACCATCTGATGAAATTGTGAAGATTGATGATGTATGTTTTATTTCAACCTTGTTGATGAAAAGCAAATTTTGTACACAGTAGATCTTACATGAACTGAACAAATCTTGGAGTGAAAAAAATGACTGCATTTTTGAATGCATCAGAACTGCATAATTTATTTTGTTTGATCTTAGAATGAATGAATGAATGAATGAAAGTGATATTATATATCCTTTATAAATAAATCATTTTTTTATTCCCTTGCACAAAAATAACAAGTTTACGTTCTTCGTCTATCTCTAGCCCCACTCGTCATGTCACAATTAACTTGGTAGATACTGCAGAATGGGGAGATGTTCACTAAGTTTAATTTCTTTCGATTTGTTGCAGAAATATTCACTAGGTTTTAAATTAACTAGTTTGTGAAGGAAACAATACATTCTATTAACTTTGTATATTTGTCAGGTTTCAATTTAAACGCATTCAGTTGAAATAAGCAAAAAATTGGCATATAATTGTGCTCTATACAGTATGTCCTGTAGTGGGATCTAATTTTTGATTGATTCAGTGCATATTATCTAATTCATGTAATTGCTCCATTCTGTTATTGATCATTTCTTGGCATGTTGCAGCAACAAATTCCCTTTCCAATTCAACATACAGCTGACAACAGAAGTGTCAAATTTGCCTTGCATTATGCTTGATTTATTCGTGTCCAGTAGTGTCTGTCATTTGATTTTGTCTTGGGAAGTGTCAGCAGATAATTGTTATTTATGAATATTACCCAGATAAAGTGCGTATATGTGGATGCATGCATTATGAATGATGTCAAGCGGCAACAGTAGTTTTCTGTGATATTTGGTTACCATGTCTTTACTATGCACAGCATGACTTGTTGCAACATTGTGTGAGAGAAATGATACATTTTACTCAATTCCCCTCATTTGAATAACTTTCAAAATATTGATATAACCGTCAAACAAATCAATGCATGATGACTTATATCTGATGAATACGCTAAATAAAATAAAGTTAACTTAAAATGAAGTTTAAATGTGATGCTGAATGAAATCAATATTACCTCTTTACAGATGCCTGAACGGCTGAATAGTTTGATACTCGTAGTTTACCAGGAACGGCAAGTGCTTGTCCTTTTCTTTACTTTCAGGTGTGCTTTCGCAGCAATTTTACTGCTGTTGGACTTCGTCCCCAAACCACGTTTGGTGAAAGTGCACCAGATATATTTGTGGATTCTAAATGGCTTTCAAAATAGCACCAGCAATATTTGTGGCATATTATTCAGGCACTATATTTCGGTGAGAGGTAAAATGCAAGGTGGGAGGGTGGGTCCCAATCACTTTTTTTTTGCCAACTGATTAGGTACATGGTTTTCTTTGTTGCAGTACTTGATCTTAATTTTTCAAATCGTGGCTAATTTCTATGTCATAAAAACCTTGCACAGGTTTATAGAAATAATAAGTCTCTTATGTAGACTATCCAGACATCCGATAATGCAAAATCATTCTCATTTCGCACCTCCAAGGTCATATTTGGTGATCAGGATATTACATGGACCCTTGCACTGTAGGTTCAACTCTGTCAAATATTAGTAAAAAAACTGGCATTTATAATGCCTTCATGTAACATCTATGCAAAGATGTACAATGATGCAAATTGCTAAGAATTCTTGGAAATGTTGATTCTCAGTGCTCACAGAGCAAACATCACATTTTAGGAAAGGAACTCATAATAAAGAAGAAATATTGTGTCAAAGTTCCTGTTGAATAATTATTAGGCTGTAGTCTAGCATCACAGGTAATTTACTAGATAGAAATTGTCATAGTATTTTTGTTATCCAAACCAGTTATCTTGAGCAGTTAGTTCGTAATGTACTTTCCCGTTTTTACCATTCTGCCACACTGTTGGACCTGCAACATAAGAGTCCATGAATATATTGTCAACATAACCATGGAGCTGCAAACCATGACGAACTCATTCGTAACCCAAACATGCATTGAATAAACAGTCTGAGGCTTCAATATTTTAGTGTATGTTTGGCTAATTCAATCCATTTTGATTCCTAAAGTATTGATCATATTTAAGATGACTGACAGATTTTGATGGGATTCATCCAAGCATCTGTGCTTACAGGAGAACAATGTGGTAGGTGCTCAATAAGAAAAAAAATATTCACATCACCGAATATTCAA